ACTGATCACTGATCAAAACTAACAACAACTCACATTAACAGCTTATGGATATGTACAAAATCGAGGAGGAGGCCTATAAGACCCAAGGAAAGACGGAGTTTTATGCTTAAACAACAACAACAACAACAACAACAACAACAGCTTAAAGAAATCTATAATATAAACTGCAGAAAAAGAAGAAGAAGAGTTTTAGTGTACGTCTATGTTATTTAGAAATATGAAGATGAAGAAATCAATTCAAAACAAAACATAAACAAAAACAAAAACAAAAAACTGTATTCGAAGAGAAAAGTCAACACTTTGTGCTTTATACTTATTTAAGACGTTATAAAACGTGGCAAACTATCAAAAAAAAAAAAAAATAGAAAAAATATATATATATATATGAATGTATGTATATCTATGCTTAGATATTGTAACTAAATTGTTGAAATAACTTTGCAAGTTTTCGATCTCCAAATACTTGGAAAATACCAATATTTAAATTGTTTGCTGTACAACTGCAAAAAATACTTGAATTATAAATAAAAATTCCAGAAAAATACCAAGAACAAGCAAACTTAATGGTATTTATGCATCAATAAAACGGTACACCGATAAGCTTAGACCATGCCATAAGTAAACCAAAAAAAAAAAACCAAAAAAAAAGAGCAAAAAAATACTTTCCAAGTTCTCTGGAAACATGGCGCAAAGCGCTCTCTCTTTAGTATTTTTTTCTTTTGAATTTGTATCTATGAGTTTCGAGTGTCTTCGCAGCGGAGCGAGAGAAAAAGTACAGCTAACAATTGTAGTATATATATATATATATATATATATATATATATATATATATATATATATATATATATACAAACGACGTACGTTTCAATGAGGAAGTTGAAGAAAATACTAAACATATATTGCATAACATGTGTTTCCGATTTTCCACCTAACAGCTTAGCAAAACAAACCAAAAATACTATAAATATCCATATAAAAGAAAAGAAGACGAGGCATAACATATATATAAATCGTATAAGTAACAACAACATTGGTATTTAAATACTAAAATGCAAAAAAGAAAAACAAGAACAAAAAGCATTTATTTTGAATGAATGCAAAAATATCTCTTGATGCTTAACGAAATAACAAATCAATGTACATCCCAGTCAAAAAAATAGTTGAATTCTGCGAAAAGAAACAAAAATACCGAAGACAAAATAGGTAAAAATACCTATAAGCGTTTATATAAATGTCAAAAAAAAACTCTTTTTAGTATGAGCAATTCAAATGAAACACCCCTACCGGCAGTTCTATATATATATATATATATATATATATATATATATATATGTATGTATGTATGTATATGCGCCCATATATTGCTATTTTGTGTGGGCTCGATTTGCAGTACCCACACACACACACGTACACATACTTATATATATATATACATACATATATATATATATATATATATATACATATATATAAATATATATATAAATAAATATATATATATATATATGTATATATATATATATATATATATATATATATATATATATACACAACTAGAAGAAATCATCATCAAAACTTGTTAAGAAACTTTATAAAAATCAAGCGTAGCGTTCGCCACGTTTAACAGAAAAATACTTTCGCGAATTTTACAAATGAAAGCTAGCTAAGAAAATATACCAAAAAAAAAAAAACTCAAATAACTAAAAATACCAAACGTTATACGTTTTTGCTTTCGAGTTGAGTTCGTTTAGGTTTTTGCAATTCAACGCGAACTAAATGTCTTTCCGTTGTAGTTGAAGCGAGAAGAAAATACCAAAAATATACCAACAAAAATACTAAAAATACTAAAGAATATGAATTGTATATTTAAAAATGTAGAAGAATCCGAAAAATGTTTTTTTGTGCCCTAAAAATGTAGATGAAGAAGAAAACGAAAATTTAAGTTAACTTTTACAAGGTAAAACCACTAAATTAATATATATATATATATATATATATATATATATATATATATATATATATATATATATATATATATATATATATATATATATATATATATATATATATATATATATATATATATATGGTATGTATATGTATATCTCTATATGTACACTTACTCAAGCTATGACCATGTATATCTATTTAGAACAAATTGCGAGCGTTTTATAAATGTGATAAAAAACAAAAAGAAATGAAAAAACGATAAAAATCTTGATTGAAAACACTTTGAAGAGTTGCTTAGTTCTCATTCACAGTTTGTTCATTATTGTGTGCGGCATTATGTCTAGTAAAAATTTAGGTATTACGCCCCCATTTTTTTTTTTTTGAATTTCGTGCACTTAACAAAAGGGAAGATACTTACCGATATTTACCTTTGTATCATATGTAATATATACTGTGCCAATCCCAAAAACAAAAACAAAAAATAACAACCAAAAAAATACCAAAAAAAAAAAATTAAACAATTATTTTGATTTTTGTATACATTAGAAAAAGGCCTAGCCTCTTAGTCATACATGCATACAAATGTATTTCGAACAGGCAAAATTTTGAGGCAGCTGGAGATGGAGGTACAGAGAGCAACAGTTGTGTACCTGTATTGGTGGGGTAATAGCGAAAGGCAAAGCGCAGCAGCTTAAGCTGCAGCTGAACGTGCAAGAGATAGGAAAGGAAAGAGTGGGAGAAGTAGAAGTAGAAGGGTGGAAGAGTAGAAGAGTAAAAGAATAGAAAAGTAGAAGAGTGAATGAGTGAGTGAAAAAGTACAAGTGAATAAGACCGGAAGATTATAAGAGTGGAAAAGTATAAGAGTGAAAGAGTAAAAACGTAGGAGAGTATTGCAGTGGCAGAGTGCAGTGAACGAGTATAAGAGTAGAAGAGTACAAGAGCATAAAGAGTATAACAGTGGAAGATTATGGAAGCGGAACAATATAAGAATGAACGAGTATAAGAGTGGAAGAGGGCGTGAGCTATCTCGCTGAACCAAATTTTGCCAATGTGTCAATTTTAATTTCGATTTTATTTAGACTACACATATATATACCTATAAATATATATATAAATATATTCGAAACTAGAGCGAATGAAAGAAAAAAAAAACACAAAATTGTTAGAAAGTTAACCCACGCTAGGGGCCACACGTTTGATATAGTTTATACTAATTCGATGCAAATCTCACGAGGACATCAACCAACTACCCTTTCTCTGTCAAACAAAATACAGGGTACAAGTAAGCCCATAGCAAAAGAGAAACAAAAACAACAAAAATACATATTTATTTGTGTATTTAATTATAATATGATTATTATTATTATGCACCCCGAAAGCCCAAGAAACCCCATAAGAACAACAAAACCAAGAAGAAAAATGAAAAGAAAAGGATCAAGAATAAAATAAACAGCAAGCAACTGTATAAATATTACTATTACGACTACATACAATTATAGTTTAAACAAAAATAAATACAAACAAATGAATAAAAGCTAAAACTAAATTGAAAGGCAAAGAAAACAATGAAAAAGTTAAGAAAATGAAATTCTATTTAACAATGCTGCGTATGAACTTATGATTATATACATACTATATAACTATGTATTACTATTATTATTATCATTATCATTGTCATTATCATTATCATTACCGTTACCGTTATTATTGCTATTATTATTATGATTGTCCATAGAAATCTTTTGCTTTGCATCGATTGCTCAACAGAAAGAGGAAAAAGTTTTATGACGATTTTCCCGTTTCACAAATGATTTGTTTCAAATAAATTATATCAATAAAATAGCATGAAGTTTATTTTTTATTTATTATATTTATCATTCTCTTAGTTTTTGTATTTATTTCTCATTTATTTACGATCGCAAATAACGAACTCAGAAAGCTCCCTCGATTAATGCAATTATTTTGATCTTCTTTCAAGATCTGAAGGCTATATATAATTTGGGTAAGAACTACAGGATTTACGTTTCATATAAGACATACGAAAATAAATTGCAAACATATTTTAGTTGTATTTAAAGACACACACTTTGAAAAGCAATTAACTCCCTTGCCAACAAAATGCAAATAGAAAAACTAGAAAAACTAGAAAAAATAAACTAAATATATATGTCTATATAGCAACTGAATTGTTTCTTTTTCTTTTATTCACATATGTAATATGTTTCTTACTTTCTTTTGATTTTCGAAAACGCAAGAGAGCAGAAAAGTTAAGGGAATAACAAAGAGGAAAATATAACTAAAAACCAAAAGCAGAAAGAATCCTTGGCTGAAACAAAGAGAAACAAATAAAAACAAAATAAAACAAAACAAAAAAAGAAGCAAATAAACAAAAAAAAAAAAAACACAAAAAACAAAAGCAAATACAAATTGTAAACGATATTTATGAAGTTTTGGTGTTGAGGTCATAAAAACAGTTGGAAATAAACGATTTTCTGATGAAGTTGCGTTCGCATTTGACTTTCGTTTCGTCTATTAACGGTTTTGGTTATCGCATTTGAAAATACTGTCAATTGGATCCAGAGAACTGTATGCGCATCATCGTTTGGTAAATGTATTTCTTCAGCATCAACTGCCTTACTTTTTGAAAACAACTTTCAATTTATATTAACTAAACAGCTTGCAAAATGTCTCAATATTTGCTGTGCGTTCTTATTGGAAAAAATAACAGCAGCTGGCATGGCTTTAACAGGGCTATTTAACAGCTCTGGAAATTTACGCGCGCTCATTTGCATAATATATCTTAAGCTTTCTCTTATAAGAATATTAACTATATCAAAAAGGAGTTTGATTAAAATATTGTTATATTGTACCAACGTTACTATTATCACACATTTACATTTAGATCAACTCACTTATTTTCATCAGAGCAGCCAACAAACTTGTAGCGTCACTAGTAGACCGTTTAACACTGAGTTAGCAGCTGCGCTAGCTTAACGCAATTTTGAGCTTAGCTCGCATTGGGAGCGCATATTTACAATAACAGTACCGCAAAATTGCGTCAATGCACATATGTTAGAGCTTATTGCGTTAACATAACACACAACACATTATAAAACAAAATTAATTCCTATTGATAAAAAGTTGTGCCTGGAAATACACATAAATATATAAGCGAAGATGAACAAAATTAGCCAAATCTTATTGCGGCCAAGCCTGGCCAACAATTTCGCAACAACAATGCGTACAATGCCGGCGCTAGCAACATTTCCACGCTGGTACAGCGCGGACGCAGCTGCTCCGCCGGCCGCATTAGATAAGGAGACACTGGACAAACTGGTGCGCACCAACAAGGTGGTTGTATTTATGAAGGGCAACCCACAGGCGCCGCGCTGCGGCTTTAGCAATGCTGTGGTGCAAATCATGCGAATGCATGGCGTCCAATACGACGCACATGATGTCCTTCAAAACGAGTCACTGCGTCAAGGTGAGTGATATCTCAGCTAAATATATCGAAATCTAACTAGCGTCATTCCACTCACTCACAGGCATCAAGGAGTATACCGATTGGCCAACCATACCACAGGTGTTTATCAACGGAGAGTTCGTCGGTGGCTGTGATATTATGATGCAGATGCATCAGAGCGGTGACCTAATCGAGGAGCTCAAAAAGGTGGGAATCACCTCCGAGCTGCTCAAGGCCGAGGAGGCCAAAGATTCAACGAAAAAGTAACCAAAAAAAAAAACAAAAATAGTTAAAAATTAATTGTTAAATCATTCAATATAAACATATACCTATATACATATTATTTGTTCTTAATATACATATATGTCAATTGTGTTTTTTGGACCTACGATGCTTGTCCTCGTTGGCTTTTCGTTCGCGCTGCTCGTCGATCTGCTCCAGCGCCGCCAGAATTCTAACGTGCGCCCCCTGCGTCAAGTCCTCCACCTGCAAAAGCTCGCGACACTTTTGCTTCATTTCCACATTTTGCATATTCACCACAATCTGCGTCAAACTTCGTGCTATGGTGTTGCGTATCAAATCGTCCGGTGGCATTGGCAGTGGACGACGTCCTGGTCGTGAACTGCTTGCCATAGTGGCATTTGGTTGGTGTTCTTGTTCTTGTTGTTGCTGCTGCTTAGCGGCCATCTTTCACACTGATTGCTGCCCGCAAAACTGAGCTTCAACTTTCGCGATTTACCGTTTGCAAGTTTAACCCTTGACTGGTCGTTGGCTTTAGCTTATATCGCATGTTTTCTTGCCCTTTATTATTGTTGCTAATTTGTGATCGGCCATATTGCACACTGATCGCTGCCCGCAACACTGAGCTTCAAGTTTCGCTATTTACCGTATACAACTTTAACCCTTCGCTGGCCGTTGGCTTTTTTCTATGTTTTTCTATGTTTCAACTTAACCCTGCATAGATCGCGTAATTTTTTACATGTTTTCGTTTATTTTTAAATATTACAATATATAATATATAATACATGTTGATTTAGTTGGTGTTGCTTCTTAATATTTTTGTTGTTTTACATAAAAATATATATATGTGTATATTGCTTGAAATTAACATTTGTTATTACCGTTATTTGAACATTGTTACTGTTGTTGTATTCCATTAACTTGTTTATTAATAATAATTGTTATTGTATTGTTTCGTTCGCTTTGTAGGTAATAAGTATTTGTTTCCTTCCTCTCATGTTCAAAATAATTTTACGTACAATAAAAAAAACAAAAAAGACTTATGCGCTATAACTTGCCTATTAGTAAACAATAATAAAAAGTGTTAAACGCGATATGCCATACAAATATATATATACGTATATATATATATGTATATATATATATATATATATATATGTATATATATATGTATATATATATATTTATATATTTATATATTTATATATATATAAGTTATATATATATGTTTGTAGTTATGTAAAAAAGTAGATTTGTAATACTTCTAAAGTTCAGCTTTTCAAAAATAACCAGCAATAGCAAATTGGAACAAGGTTTGCGCAAAGCGAGCTTTTGCGTTGTTGCTTCTCGTTAGATCGAGCAGCGAGTAACGATTAGCAAGTAGCGAGTAGTCGATAGCTGTGGCTGTAGCTGTTGTAGAACGCTGCAGCACGGCTCATACAATGGACAGCTTGTCCAGAATTGAGGATGTGTCCAGTAGCAGCTCAGTGCTGCTGCTGAGGATGTCGTAGAGCTCGTGGGGCGCATCGCCCGCAATGGGGCTGCCGAATGGAAAGAATGAAGAGAGCGTCGAGAGCTGCAATGGCCCGCCATTGACCACATGCAGGCCATTAGCAGTCGATCCTACTGCTCCTCCTCCGGCGCCTGGTGTCGATTTACGTCTTCGCTCCACGCCATCCACATACTCCACTGGGTCCTCTTGCTGGCGCTGATCCTGATCCCGTTGCTGCTGCTGGCTGGGTCGTTGCTCGCCCATCGCCTCGTAGTAGGCATCGGGCAGCTCATCAAAGCTCTGCAGGTCGATGCAGCGCTGCGCCTTGGCTATGTTGCTCAGCATCAGGCGATAAAAGAGATCCACCTGCGGCTGTCCACCGCCACGTATGTCCAGCACGGGGAGCCAACGGTAGTAGCACTGATCCCACACGGACAGATCGAGTATGCGATGCGCCGGCTGCAGGTAACGATCTTGCGGCACACTGGATTGCGTAGCAAACAGCTGCGGATTGATGGTGTAACGTGATGGAGACGATGTTGCCAAGGCGCCGCCGGCGCTAGTCGTTGTCAGCAGCTTATTGTGACCGCCCACGGCCAAGGAGCGTCGATAATTTTGATTGGCAGCCAAATCTCCTCGCTGACGCTGATAGAGGGGATTGGTGAAGAACATCTTATCCTTGTCGGAGAACTGCTCTCCCCAATCCCAAACGGGCCGCAGCACCAGACGTCCCTCGCTGACGGCACGCGCTCGCTGAGCATGGCTATCGAACTGGAAGGTATCAAAAATGGGCATAAAGCAGGCATCCCACAACGTTGTCAGATAAGTTTGCGAGAACTCAAACTCATCCGGAAACTGTTGGAGCAGCTGCCACACGCAGTCGAGGTATAGCAAAAAGATGGGACTCTGTTCGCTGTCCGGCGCCTGTTCGCAGTGGGAAACATAAACGTGGCCCAGCCGGCGCTGGAACGGATGCTCCAAGGCGACCCATTCCTTTTGCACCAGCGACTGGAAACCGTCGATGGTGCGAAAGTGCGGATCGAGTAGCAGCTGGGTCAAGCTGCTAATCACACAGCACAGATCCCGGCCATTGGACTCCTGCAGCACACAGGTTACAGAGGCACGCAACGTGGCAGCCGCTTCCGAGGCCTTCCGCAGGCAGAGCGAAACATATAGCAGCCAGTTAGTCTTCTCGAGCAGCCCCAGATATTTGTCGTCCTGCAGCATGAATTTCTCCGGCGTTTCGGGCGTACAGAGGCGTCGCAGCTTGTGATACGCCCGCTGCACATCCTGCGTGCTGGGCAGCTGGTCAGTTAGCTGGATCAGCTTCAGCTGTTTCCGCTCATCACACTTGCGCACCAGCTCCAGCATAATGTTCTCCAGCTTGGTATCCTGCTGCGAGCTCGGCTGCAGCTCGGCCATACGCACCAGGGAGGCAGCGCTGCTGCCATAGCTGTACACCCAGAAGGCGGCACGTGAATCGCAAAAGGCCAGCGACAACTGCAGGAAACGCTCCACCTCACAGCACTTGGGTATGACAAAGTGTGGCGGCAGCGTGTACTTGCTTGCCTGCAGACGATTCTGGAGCAGCGGCACGGAGCTGGCGCTGATCACCTGCCATTCAGTGGCGCCGCAGCGTATCAGCTCGCGTGCCCAATCGTTCTTGCTGGCGTACATGCTGACGCCGAGCAGCGTGGAATAGTAGGGTTCCCGATACGCATAGGCGAAGCTCAGGTCGTGTCGCATCGGGTAGGCGAAACGAGCCAGCGCCGAGGCAATTAGCTTGACATAATCACTAGCTCCACTTAGCTTCGAGTCCTGCTGCTGGAACGCAAACTTGAGCAGGCGAAAGTTCTTGCATATTATATGCAATGCCACGATCCGGCCGTTTAGATTGTTCTGCTTGGCGAGCTCCAGTTTTTTTCGTCGGCTGCTCGTGCTAGTCATGCGCGCTGCTTGGAGCGCGCTGGCTGCTCTGCCCTGCTCGGCAATCGTATATATCTGATCGATGTTGTTCAGCGTGACCTCGTTGCGACCCAAATAGGCGTTCTTCTGATACAGATCGCTTGCCAACGGCGCCGACAGCGTGCCATGGCCACCATGCAAGGGCACAAAGGCCAGCTTAAAATTGGTTACACTCAACAGGCCAAAGGTGGCCTCCTTGTGGCCACCTCTGCTGTATCTCTGGCGGTGGCCGTTGCCACTGCTGCTGCTATTGCCATTGCCATTGCCATTGCCATTCCCATTTCCGTTGCCGTTGCTGGTGTTAGCATTGTTGCTGCTGGTGTTGCCGCCGACACCTTCCATTGGCGCTATTGGCGAGTACATGTAGGCGGGCGCTGAGGCAACGATCTGCTCGCCGACCAGCAGTTGAGGCGTGGCCAAGTGCACATCACGCAAATCGCTGGGCAGGCACCATTCATTCGTATCGGCTGTGGCGCGCACATCTCCAGCCATGGGCGCCACGTAGCTGGTGAAGGTGTTGCGCTTTCGATGGTCTGGCATATCATTGCTGCCAGTGGCCATCCTCAGCCACTGCTTATGATTGTAATTATTATTATAATTCTTATTCTTGCTTGGATCGGCCAGTGCGAACAACTTTTGTGTGTGGGGTCGCACGTACTTTGAATATTCAATTATTTCTTATTTCCTGTTTGCCTACAAGTTGCTGCCGCTGCTGCTGCTGCTGCTGCCGCTGCTGCTGCTGCTGCTTCTGCTTCTGCTGGTGTTTTCGTTGTCGTCGATGTTCTTGTTGTTGTTGCGTGCAGCTGGCTGCTTAACCGTTAGCCAATGCCGCCTCCAATGGCTAACAAACTGTATGTCAAATAATAAAGAAAAAGTATTAGATACTTGATTCTCGATATGTTTGGTGTAAATTCACACACACATAGCACATAAGCACATCATACACACACACACAAGCAAACATACATGCAGATCCATATACAAAAGGCACATAGCACATAGCGAAGCATAGACGAAATTAAAATTATCTTCGATTTTGATAAGTTTATCAGTTTGAGCTTACCTATTATTTATTTTATTGGTGTTTTTGTCTTGCTTGCGTCGCTTTCGATGTTGGTCTTTAACGTGGAAATGTTTTAATATGTCATCTTTGTGCATCATCTATCAGCACACATATGCATGCATATACAGGCATTTATTTATTTATTATTTTCGTTGTTGCCATTAATATATATACTAATATATATATATATACATATATATATAAATATATACATATACGTATATATAAGTATATACGTTGGCTACTAATACAAATACGCATGCACACTCATTACATGTCAAAAATAACTATCGTTATCGGTAATGTAAGTGGATTCAATCAGCTGATTCAGTTCGAGCGCAAAGCTTAGCAACACTTACTGACTCCGATAGAATTGGTAATTTTCTTTGTCGTCATCAAACGTTTTTGTTTACATTTTTTAATTAGCTTAAAATAACCAATAATACAAGGAAGGTTTTATATCAAATGGTGTATTTTTACCATTTGAATTTTAAAAATTCATCAAGATTTGATTCGATGTATTATTTCGATATTTTTTGCTTAATGTCAACATCGATATATTAGATATGTCAGTTCATGTTAACGCTAGTGAAAAATCACTTGGCCGGTAAACACGCGGCAGACGGTGAGTTGGGCGTAAATTAAATATAGATAGTGTTGAATTCAGCAGCTAAAGAGCAATCTACGAATTTATTGTAAATAGAGTGTGCATGCTTTGGGTACACCGCAGCAGTCGGTGCTTCAAATTTTGCCTATCATCATTCACATCATTGTCGTTGTCAGTGACAAACATAACAAATTCCCAGTGCCATTTATAACTGTCACTGTCGTTAGACGGGCAATTCGCAAGGTACGCTGAAAATCGTAATAACAAACCATTAAAACAAATCTCAAGCAGTTATAACCAAGTGGTGTATACGATGGCAGAGCAGATCAAATACTTGGATGAACCCGATAAATCGGTGACGGATAAAAAAATCTACAAGTAAGTAACACGCACTAAACACATACACATACATCGATATATATGTATACTTCTATATACACAAAGCATATGGCTTGCACGTACGTACGTACAATTGTATGCATATGTATTTGTTAAATATCAACAATTAGTGTTTAGTTTCCCATGAGAAGCTTGAGTTGTAGACTTTTGCTTAGCGAAGACAAATACCAAATATAAGAGTTTTTTAGAAACGATTAACAGCAATATAGCAGCTTACACTCAATTATAGAAGAAGCAGCCAATATAAGAGTTTTTACAGTCGCAACTAGAAAGGTAATAAGTGCTAATATAAGAGTCTCGCAAAAGACAGTCTTATATTGGGAGAGCAGAATGATAAATGATGCCATTTATATCTCAGTCTTCTTTAATGCTTATTGTTTATGTATGTCTGGAATTTATCTCTGAATGCACTCTTTCCTGTTCACTCTTTGCAGATCAATTCTTCTGCCTAATGGGCTGCACGCTCTTATCATTTCGGATCCGAGTCCGATGCCGCACGATGGCTTCACCACATCGGAGTCGTCGATTGGCGAGGGAGATGAGACGTCTGGAGAGACTGAAAGCACGAACAGCTCAAGCGAATTCACATCATCCACATCGGGCAGCGGACAAAGTAGCTCCGATTCCGATAGCGAAGTGGGCGATGAGAAATTGGCAGCCTGCGCGATCCTTATGGATTACGGCTCATTTGCCGAGCCGCGCAAATATCAGGGCTTGGCCCATTTTCTGGAGCACATGATCTTCATGGGCTCCGAAAAGTATCCCGAGGAGAATATGTTCGATGCCCATATCAAGAAGTGCGGCGGCTTCACCAACGCCATCACGGACTGCGAGGATACCGTTTTCTATTTCGAGGTGGCCGAGAAACATTTGGACTCGAGTCTTGACTACTTCACGGCCCTAATGAAACATCCGCTGATGAAGCAGGAGGCGATGCAACGCGAACGCTGCTCTGTGGACTCTGAATTCCAGCAGATCGTACAGGAGGACGAGACAAGACGGGACCAGCTGCTGGCCAGCCTGGCCACCGACGGCTTTCCCCACGGCACCTTCGCCTGGGGCAATCTGAAGACACTCAAGGAGAACGTCGATGACGAGGCGCTGCACAAGCTGCTGCACGAAATCAGACGCGATCATTATGCAGCCAATCGGATGTACTTGTGCCTGCAGGCACGTCTGCCCATCGACGAGCTGGAGACTTTGGTGCTGCGTCACTTTGCCGACATCCCCAGCAATGAAATCGTGGCGCCAGATCTAAGCAACTTCAGCTACAAGAATGCCTTTCGTCCCGAGTTCCATGAGCATGCATTCTTCGTCAAGCCCGTGGAGAATGTTTCCAAACTGGAGCTAACCTGGGTGATGCCCAGTGTGCGTCAATACTATCGCAGCAAACCGGATCAGTTTCTCGCCTTTGTGCTAGGCTACGAGGGCAAAGGCAGCCTGTGCGCCTATCTGCGTCGTCGTCTATGGGCCCTGGAGCTAGTCGCCGGCATCGATGACAACGGCTTTGATCTCAACTCCATGTACAGCCTGTTCAACGTGTGCATCTATCTGACCGACGAGGGCTTCAAGAACTTGGATGATGTCCTAGCCGCCACGTTTGCCTATGTGAAGGTGCTCGCTCTGGCTGACCCGTCGACCTTGCGCGCTATCTATGATGAACAGCAGGGCATCGAAGAGATCGGCTTTCGGTTTCAGCCGCAGCGCCCGGCCATGGATAATGTGCAGCAGCTAGTGCTGAACTGCAAATACTTTCCGCCCAAAGATGTGCTCACCGGCAAGGATCTGTACTATGAGTACAACGAGCAGCATTTGGCCGATCTCATCGGACATCTCAACGACTTTAAGTTTAATCTAATGCTAACTGCTAGGAAATACGAGGATTTGGTCTTTGATAAGCGTGAGGAGTGGTTTGGCACCGAGTACACCAGCATCCCAATGCCAGAGAAGTGGCAGCGTCTATGGTCCGAATCGGATCCCACAAAGTTGCCCGAACTTTTTTTGCCCGAGACGAATCGATTTGTTACCCAAGACTTTGGCATCTATTGGCACAAGATGGGCAAACCCGAGTTGCCCGACTCGCCCAAGAAGCTGCTGCAGTCGGAGATCTGTGAGCTCTGGTTCCGCGGCGACGACAAATACGAGCTGCCCGAGGCATATATGTCCTTCTATCTAATCTCACCGCTGCAGCGCAAGTGTGCTAAAAAGTAAGTCCTTTCTCCTTTTCCCTTGAACTTGTATTGATTAGGTTTCGCTCTCTCCCTCTCCATCTCCCTCTCTCTTCAGCGATGCTATGTGCGCATTGTATGAAGAGCTGGTCAAGTTCCACGTCAGCGAGGAATTGTATCCAGCCACCAGCGCAGGGCTCAACTATACCTTTAACGTCGGCGAGAAGGGTCTGATACTCCAAGTGCATGGCTACAATGAGAAACTGCATTTGCTGGTCGAGTCCATTGCCCAGGCGATGATGACGGTGCAGTCCACGCTCAATGAGGATATATTGGCCACCTTTGTGAAGGACCAACGCAAAAGCTACTTCAACACGCTCATCAAACCACGTGCCCTAAACAGGTGAGTCACACGCACCTTTCCTCTCTCTCTCACTCTCTCTCGTTTGTATTCTGTTGTAACGCTACTCATTTGCTTCAGGGACGTCCGTCTATGCGTGGTGGAGCATATGCGCTGGCTAATGATCGACAAATACAAGTGCCTGAACGATATTACGCTGCAGGACCTGCAGGACTTTGCGGGCCTCTTTCCACAACAGCTGTATGTGCAGGGCCTCGTGCAGGGCAACTATACGGAGGAGCAAGCCCATAATGTGATGAACATGTTGTTGGGTCGTCTCGGCTGCAAGTCGATACAGGACCACTATTATGTGGAGGATCGCACGGTGCAATTGCCACAGGGCGCACACTACATACGCTGCCATACGCTGAACGAACAGGACACGAATACTGTGATCACGAACTACTATCAGATCGGGCCAAATAATGTGCGCTTGGAGTGCATTTTGGATCTGTTGATGATGTTCGTTGAGGAGCCGCTGTTCGATCAGTTGCGCACCAAGGAGCAGCTGGGCTATCATGTCGGCGCAACGGTTCGGATGAATTACGGCATTGCCGGCTACTCGATCATGGTCAACTCCCAGGAGACAAACACAACGGCCAGCCATGTGGAGAAGCGTATCGAGGTGTTCCGCAACAATATGCTCCAAATTCTCGAAGATATGTCCCAGGAGGACTACGATCATACGCGCGACTCGCTCATCAAGCTGAAGCAGGTCGCCGATATGGCGCTGGCCACGGAGGTGTCGCGCAACTGGAACGAGATTGTCAACGAGGAGTATATGTTCGATCGTCGTCGGCAACAGATCGATGTGTTGCGCAGCCTGACGAAACGTGAAATAGTCGCCTTCCTGCTGGACAATGAGATCACCAACATGCGCAAGGTGTCCATACAGGTCATTGGCCATCAGCCGGAGAAGACGTCCAAATTGAAGTCAAAGGCGTTGGCCGAAACGGAAGGGGATGCCCAAAGTTCGCTGACCGAGACGACGCCCAGCAGCGAGAATGAAGACGACGATGAGGACGACGATATGGAAAGCAGCGAGGAAGATGAGGATGAACTCTTCGAGGCGCTGGCCAACAAACTGAATGTCGTATTCCTGCCAGAGGAGGGTGACGCCACAACCATTGTCGACATTGCCGATTTCAAGTCCAGTCTGGATCTATATCCCATGACTCTCTTCAACAATGTGAGCGCCGATGTCGAGGATGCCAGCAGCAAGCCAACGCTTATCGAGGATGCGCTAATGAATACGTGAACGCCCACACCTGACAGCAACCAAAAGACCCATCAACGGCAAATACATATTGTCCATAAATATGCATACGCACACATATACATATGAGTATATGCATGTGTGTGTGTGTGTGTGTGCGAGTGTGTTTAGCATATATAGTTTATAAGGATTCATCTGTAACAAAATTACTGCAAAGCGAATGCACTCGTCGTTTTACTAGCAAAATGTAAAGTAAAGTAACACACCTGTGTACACCTACCCATACCATACCGTACCCATACCGTACCATACACACACACTTACATTGACGTTTTACAAGAGAAATATGTAGATCGAAGCATTTGTCCTTTCGCGATGATCGCGTGATTTGTAACTGACGACATTTGAAAGCAAACTAAACTAAATTTACCTTAAACAGCTATTAAACTAAATAAAACAAATAAATTATGCAATATGCACCCACTTCTCTGTATCCCAGCCAATGCATACACACATTCACATATATATTAAGATATATTTAATAGAATATATAGAACTTTATACGTTTTACACATATATATGATTTGTGGCGAGTGGGGCACATACACTCGTTGGTCGTCTCGTCTCTTAGAGTCTCTCAATATATTTACGATCGGCAAATACTATATCTGGTTTATGAGTAACGCTATTAAAGTTGCAATTTTGAATACATATATAGTGGCCGAGACTAAAGCATTAGTAGACATAACTAGCACCATTAAGGATCCTTTACAGATCTCTATTTTGTATATATATAAAGGCTTTGTGTCTTACGAGATCATATCGACTCAGCAGTTCGTTCTGATCAAGAAAATATATACTTTGTGGGCGCTGCCACGCCTCGTTCTGCCTGTTACATGCATTTTGAGAAAACCTTTTTGCTCTGAATTATCATTCTTAATGTGTTCAGGGTACAAAGAACTGATGAGGCTTGTTCTGGATAAAAACAGCTGGATAAATCAATTGTTTGAGCGACCTATATATATGTAATATAGTATTATAAGATACTCTATATATATATAGTTTTATAGTATACAATATTACTGAATAATTGTTAGGCATTAAGTAGAACGACAGCTGTTCGCCCCACTCAATGATCCTGAGTTGTGATGAGGTCAAGCGAGCTTAATCGATTCATAAGACTTGCTCACAAAACCAACAACTGTCGAATGGGAACTAACTGAAGAGCAGGTTTAACAGGAATTAAACTAAATCTGCACAAAATATTTCTTTCGTTTTTTGGGATTTGTCATATAGTCAAAGCTCTATAGGCTTGATATATTCATATACCTCTAAGCTCTAACAGCCCAAATATTTCAGCTAAATTGTATTAGCTTTAACTATTTGGCATGCTACCAGCAGGTGTGGAACTATCATTTTTATGCTTTTAGTTGCCAAAAACAGATCGGATGACGATATATATGAGTATATATAGTATACATATGTACATTTAGCCCTGTCCTTATGACAGACAAAACCAATATACTCGCTTTTCATTGAGTGAACGAGCATAAAAGTGTGCACTGACAAAGGTTTAATAATTATATAGGGATATATATATAGGTATGGTATATGTAAATGATATAGGTATAGGTATAAGGTTCAATTTGCTTAATAATCTCATCCCGCGATCTCTCTCTCTCTTTCTCTGTCTATGTCTCTCATTTGCTGGTATGGGATCAATCATTTATTTGTTCTTTATTTATACACGTAACTTTCTGTGTGTGTGTGTGTGTATTTACATCGATGTATTCGTATGTGAGTGTACATATATATGTATAAGCTTTACAAATATTTGTATTTTCTCTATATAAAGTATATATTATCAAAAATTTGTTTCATTTTTGATTCGTTCAATTTTTGTGCTTGATTAATTTATGATTTGAACAGAGATGCAATCGCCATATTCTAGATATATATTTAGTATTTGTATATACATATATATATATATATATATGGTTTATATAAAAAATCTCGATTGTTTCGTTAGTATGTATGTATGCGTTATATATACATTTACATTGAGCTTTAGTTGGCTCCCTTTTTTTTGTTTTTTACATTTTTGTATACTTAAGCATAAGTAACAATATATAGTCCATAGTTGTTTTTGTTGCTTACGATCGTCGGGTCTGGGTTTAGTATTTGTTCACAACTGAACTTAAGGATAAAGCGAGAATAGTATACATACAGTATTAGAGTACAAAAAGTATAGAATTATCAACAATAGAATAACAAAAAAAAAAATAATTAAAAATAATGTGTATATATAGGTATATATATATATAGTAAAACATATGAACTAAATTAGTTTTTTTTTTGTTTTCTTTAGATATTTTCTTTTGCTTATATACAGATTTCTAGTTGTGTGCAACGGTAAATTTAGGGTATTTTACAGTTTTTGCAGCTCTGTGGTGTCGACTAGGTAGCGCGACTGCAGTATCCTCGGCGTACGCTCGTTGGCATCCTGGAGCAGTCCCTCCTCGTGCTTGGTATTGCCATTGCCATTGGCGCCAAAGATGCGCGAGATAAGCGAGGTATTGGAACGCTTGAAAGCGGCCATTCGTTTGCCGTTCATGATCTCGGGCAGATCGTCAAGGCCGCGATGCAGCGACAACTTGTCAAGTTCCGAATCGGAGCCATAACGTTTGGCACGCTCTGCGGCCAGTTGAGCTTCGTATTCGGAGGTGCGCAACGTCTTGGCCGTTGGCTTGCGATACATTTTGAGGAGCAGCGACGAGCAGACAACGCTCACCGAACTGGCGGCCATGGCCACCGAGGCCATCCAGGGCTGGAGCGTAAAGCCAAAGGGCGCAAACAACCCGCTAGCCAGGGGTATGCCCAGCAGATTGTACATGCTGGCAAATAGGAAATTGTAGCGTATGCGACGCACTGTGCACCGGGACAGGTCTAAGCAGGCAACCACATCCAAGAGATCGTTACGCATCAGCACAATGTCCGCTGCCTCGGCAGCCACATCTGTGCCCGCTGCTATGGTGATGCCCACGTCGGCTTGTGCCAAAGCGGGGCTATCGTTGACACCATCGCCCACCATGGCAACGCGTATGCCACGCTGTTGGATCCGTTGGATTTTCGCTACTTTATGCGAGGGCAGCACTTCCGCATAGACTGTGCGTATGCCCACCTGTAGACGGGAGAATTCAGATTAATATCAGTTCATTGGGGACGAGCGAGCGAGCGACGAGATGCCCTACACATTGCCCAGACCAACGCGTTCACACAGACGGACAAACGGACAGGCAGATGGAATTGACTGGATAGACTGATGGGACACCTCCTTCTGCCGTCACACACTCTTGAACAGTAACTATATCCCGACATACCTCACGAGCAATGCTTGCTGCTGTATTCTTGTTGTCGCCCGTCAGCAGAACCACATCGATGCCCATGCGCTTCAGTGTATAGACCGCCAGGTGAGCCTCCGGCTTGACCATGTCGGCGACAGCAAACATGCAAACCAGCTGGCCATTGAGGGCGCATAGGACGGCCGTGTGCCCTTTGTGCTCCTCGTGCGTCATGCAATCGCTAATCTCCAGTGGCACCTCGATGCAATTACGTTGCATCCATTCGCGATTGCCGATGAGCACATGAATCTCGGGTCCATCGATCAGTGGCTGTTGGTGCTGTTCGAACTGTGGATGCTGCTGGCGCTGTTCCAGATCGAGGGCCCCATCCAAGGCGAGCAGCTGCTGTTCGATGATTTTCTCCTGCAGCTGCAAATAATCGATGCTGGCGCCGTTGTCTACGGCGATTGCAGTGTGTGGATGAGTGCGCCACAGATTCTCATAGTTGATAATTCGCTCCGCATTGCAAGCCTGCCGCAATGCCTGCTCATAGTTGGAGACGGTGGCCTGAATGCCACAGCCGGGCACCGCCTGAAAATTTGAGCTCTTGCCAAAACTATTCTGCACATTTAGCATGTCCTTGGCAAAGTGTACAATGGCTGAGGCAATGGGATGTTCACTGTTCTGCTCCGCAGCGCCAATGATGGTCAAGGCGCGGGCCAGGCTGCACACCTGCGGCGGCACAAACAACGTTACCCGGCTGGTCATCGGAGTGCCATGCGTAATGGTGCCCGTCTTATCAAAGACAACTGTCTTGACCTGCAGAATGAATAAATGTAGAATACTTAACACTTAATAACTATATCACACAAAGTTTGAATTTATGTATAAATATAATTGAAAATTAGAAGAAAGTCCATCTTTCAATTTTCGCTTTTCACAATCTCAACATGGCGGCTACATTTACGCATATACATAACATAACTGTCAATGCGTGCGGCATAAGTCATGTTGGTATTTTCAAAGCAAGTCGACGCTTTAAGCCCCTACGCATAAGGATATGCATGCAAATATGCAAACTTTTTATACGAGCATGGCTAATGCTTTGACTATTTCGCAATGCTGCTCCCTAAGAAGGGGCACACACTAATACATACATAAATTTGAGAGAGCACAGTGAGAGCAAGCACACAAAAATGACATCAAAACGGGATGCCCATTTCAACAGCACATAAATTCCAATGCATAAGGCAAGCAAGTCGACGTTTTGATGTCCTAGGCAAAAGAAATCATGCAAATATGCAACATTTTTCTATAAGCATGACCAATGCCTAGCATTTTGTATTGCTGCTCCTTAAAAAGAGACTGGAATGCTCGGGCACACACAAATTTGAGAGAGAGCAGTAAGAGTAGATACAATAACAAAAATGGTACTAAACGGTAAGGCCGTCTTGCTCGATCGCACTGACTGCGTGCTCGCAGCTCGTTGAGAGCGCAAAAGAGTGAGTGAGGAAAACCGAAATAACGGTGATTATTGCTTGAGTTGGCTCTCTGGCTCTCCCTTAAGCGCTTATTTTGACTTACGTCGCTGCAATACGTAACAATCTGTCTGTTAGGGTTAGGGTTAGGTTAGGTGCTCTCTCTCTCTTTTTCACTTTGTCTTTTGCACTCACCTTGTGGGCATTTTCCAGTGCTGTGGCACCTTTAACCAGCACACCGTTCGTTGCGCCCGTGCCAGTGGCCACCATAACCGCTGTGGGCGTGGCCAGGCCTAAGGCACATGGGCAGGCAATGGCCAACACGCTGAGAGCACACTTGAATGCGTAGCTAATGACAATCGTATTGCGATCCATGTGCATCTTATGCTCCATGGCTACTGGCACCAGATCGGGATTGACAAAGCCGGCTATAATCCATCCGATGAGCGTTATGGTCGATATGGCCACCACAAAGGGCACAAAGTAACCGGCAATGCGATCCGCTAACTGTTGTATGGGAGCCTTCGATGTTTGTGCCTCCTCGACGAGTCGCACAATCTGCGCCAGCGTCGTATTCTCGCCAGTGTGCGTGGCCTCAACGAGAAGCACGCCGTTCCGATTGATGGAGCCGCCAATGACAACGGCGCCCTTGCGCTTAGCCACCGGCATCGACTCGCCCGTGATGAGGGATTCATCGCAGCTCGAATGGCCAAAGAGCACTTTGCCATCGACGGGTACCTTGGCACCGGGTATCACCTTCAGCACATCTCCGCGCTGAACATAGTCTACGGATATTGTCTTCTCACTGATTATATCAAAGTCGGCCGAGATCTCCACGAGCAGCGCATCTGCTGCTTTTAGTGAGAGCAGCTTGGACAGTGCCTCCGATGTCTTGCCCTTGGCTATGTGCTCCAGCCAGCGACCAAGCGAAATGAAGATCAGCAGCATCGGCGGCGTATCGAAGAAGGTAAGAGGCGAGCTATTCTGCTCCATCAGCACTGCTGCTATCACCACAGCCACGGAGTAGACATACGAGATCGTCGTCACCATTGAGATGAGCACATCCATGTTGGTGGTGCCATGTTTGATGGCGCGGTACGATTGCACATAGAAGTGATAGCCGCCAAAGAACTGTACGGGCGTCGACAACAAGAACATGACCAGATTTTCCATGGATAGCCCAGGCACGAGGCAGCACATGTTCGCATGACCCTTGTCGCTCATTTCCAGCATGAAGTAGATCATGGCCACCATGCACGGCCCGCCAAAGATAAGTGAGATGAGGAACGCGTTCCGCCATTTTCTTATCTCCTCCTTGTGTTCCAGATAATTGTGCGCCATCTTGTCTCGTCCGCTGAGGAGCTTGGCCTGAAAGCCAAGCGCCTCGATCGCTTCGCATATGCTTCGCGGACCCGTATCGTCCGTTGTATATCGGAATTTGCCTGAAACACATGTAGATGTGATAACTTATTAGACTACAGTGGTGTCCAGGAAAGTTGTGATACATCATGGGATGCAATGACAACACACAACAGTGGCGTCTCGATAAGTGAGCCTCACTGAATTTGTGTTTAATCTCCTTATAATTTTACAGTGTTATGAACAAATGAACATTTAAATGAACTAGTAAACTTGTTCAGTGATCTATTCAGTTACAATTTCACCGATCACTGCAATACTCAATGAACGATACAGTTCAATTGAACAAATATTTATGCTCAATTCTCGGACGACTCATTATGATTCGTTCTACTGTATGTGTCATTAATTAAGTACTTAATTAAATTAACTATTGATCAAACTGAACAATTGCATTGATTCAACCCAATGAACTAGAATTCAGCACTAGAGGGAAAGCTGCAACCAGACACGTTTCCACCTAGTCAACAACTTCTACATTGAGCTGCAAGTGAAAGCTCATGGATACGTGCAAAAACTAGTTCCAATTGACTGCCTGAAGTCACGTAAAAATCAAGTCTAAAATATTTCCTTTTATATATTTAATATATTAAATCGAGTTATATATATATATATACTATATTCATCTAAAGGCACTGATACTGTAAATTAGGCAACATATTGCCCTAGGTGTGCTTCAGTAAATATTTATGCAGACGTATCAGATTAGATTAGAATGTTAGAATACAAAAAACTAATAAAACTAGCTCAATAAAAAACAACTGTTTCCAACTGTAACTACAGCGTGGATTATGAAATTATAACTAACAAGCTTATATAACATCGAGTGTTAGCACTTTTTTGACCAGGTCTGCAAAAAGTGATGTTTAAAAGTATTTAACTGTTTTTTAGCAAATAGTTTTCTTTTATTTTTTTACTATTATAATTTTGTATTGCTTTTAACTAAAACATTGATGTTTATTTAGAATTAAATAGGTATCAACACTTTTTTGGCCTTGCCTGTGAGTGAAGTCGCTAAAGTGCGCTCCAATTGGAATTGAAATTTGAATTGGAGTGCAAAAAGTATTTAGCTTGATTTTTTTTCTTTCTAACACTAAGATTTTGTTATTATTATTAACCGGTTCCAGTGCCCGGATTTGATTGCCAACTGAAGCTTAGACAACCAGCTTCGATCAAACGCGCCTCACCCCTCGCTTGCGATATCTCTCTCTCTCTCAGTCTCTCTCTGTTTCTCTGTGCTACATATGCATATGTGTGTGTACATATCATTAATCACTTGAACAGTGACTAAAATTTCAATGCATTCACTTTTGCGTGCGTGTGTGTGTGTCTGTATAGGCCAGCATGGGCTGTTGAACTTGGCGACGGGCTATTCCAGACGCAGACAAAGCTGACAAAGCTCCAAAAGTTCTGTTAGTTTATTTAAAATATTTATTTAGTTTATTTAGTATTTTTTGTGTTGTTTTTTTTATTGGGATTGTCGCAATTTAGGGCAATTGTTGGTGTAAGTTAATGTGAGATAAAGTGTAGATAAGATACGAGAGAATTTTCTAATTGTAGCTGTAGTAGTGGGCTTTAATTGTGTTGAAGGGGGGCATGTTTAACATGTTGAAAATTGGAAGTTTTAAGCGCATGACTTGAGACATTTCTAATATTTAGTTAAAGATATGCAATTGAATAGATAATTAGTCGGCTTGCTTAGCACACTTAAGCAGTACAGTTAAGAAAAACGAAAAAACCAGTACTTTTATTTGCATTTGTAAAGTTTTAAAAGAAAATTCCCCTATACAGACTCTCTGAATCATGGCAGATAAGTAAGTATTTCACCAGCCATGCGGGGAGAGTCATGTAATTAGAAAGAACATGGGAGAGAGAGAGAGAGAGAGAGGATGGAAGTGTTAGTATTGCAGGGGCTTTACAGCATGTATGTGTGCATACGTGCTCATGTCCACAGAGCGTATGTATGCATGTATGCACGTATGCATAAATGTATACATGTGCAAATGCATATGTATACAAATCACAGTATGCATTGTCAAATCGTGTGCAAAACTGACTATGCACGCTTTGCTGCATATTCTGTGATCATATTTTCAAGCTTTTAAACTCGATATGAGTTTGTGACTATCAATAACAATGAAATTTTCAGCATAAATGTAGACTTGCCTTAAGCTAACTGAACATTAATTTAATTGATTACATTAGCACTTGATATAGCAGGGTATTAGATAAGTCGCCCACGTGCTTGGCCACGTAATTAGCAAAAGCGTGTGCAAAAAATACTATATATAGGAGTTGAGTGAAGGCATCATTTTTTTTTTTTTTTTTTTTTTTTTTTTTTTTTTCGTTTTTATTTCTTTATTTTGTTGCAGCTTATTGTCTTAGACTCTATAGCGCATTTAGCTCTAAACCTTAACTAATGGGAGGGCAGATATGCCAATTATTCTGCACTTGTAGCTACTATCTTAATTAGTTCTAATATTGTCTAGAGGATGCAATCTCTTCAGTCTTCGCCTATTGTTGTTTATAGCCAGGTTGCTTGCGAGATGGTTAGGATGCGCTGCAAGTCTGTCCGCGTATCTTGAACTGTGTCGCCCAATGAGTTCAGCAACTGTGGGAATTGCTAAATCCCTATGTAAGACTGAGTTTCTTACAAACCAGCTGGCTCCAGTCCATCTGCGTAGTGCTTTATTCTGCAGGGTCTGAATTTTGTTCCTTGTAGTCTTCGCCGAGGAGCCCCATAGAGAGATACCATATACGAAGGTTGGGACAACTATTGCCTTGTAGATGGCGGCCTTGCTGCTGTAAGACAACTTGCTTGAAGCTCTCAGCATCCAGTCGAGGGTTTTTAGCTTGCTTTTGCATTTTGAGGTTACTTGACTTATGTGCGCTTTAAAAGTCAGCCTTCTGTCAAGAGTGATACCAAGGTACTTTACTTTTGAGGCTTTGGGAATAGTGGGCCCCAATGCAACGCTTGGGCAATCTCCTCTTCTAGTGGCGAAGGTAGTATGTACAGACTTTTGTGCATTAATGGTGATACACCACCGTTTTGCCCAGCGTCCGAAAGAGTCCAGATATTTTTGTAGTGAGTCTGAAGCTTCTTGCGCAGATACGTGACGTGATAAGATGGCGGTGTCATCTGCATAGGTCGCTATGAGTACTGCATCTGTACTTCCTATATTTGGCTCGGGAGTTGGCATATCTCCTGTGAATAAAGTATAAAGTGTTGGGCCTAGAACACTACCCTGTGGTACTCCAGCCATAATTGGTCTAGTCAAGGATACTGTTTGCCCCCTTGACACTTGGAAGGTTCTTCCAATAAGGTATGAGGATAGCAACGCGAAAAATGGGGCTGGAAGGGTGGTCCTCACTTTCTGCAGCAGTCCCAGGTGCCAAACTCGATCAAACGCCTGTTTGATGTCTAAAAAGACGGCAGAGCAGTACATCTTTTCTTCAAAGGCTCCAAGGATATGGTGCACAACTCTGTGAACCTGTTCCGGTGTTCCATGCTGTCTCCTGAAGCCAAACTGATGGTTTGGAATGGCCTCCTGGCGTCCCAGATGTGTCAGTACTCGTTCCAGAAATATTCTTTCGAATATTTTGGAGAGTACTGGCAACAGGCTAATTGGTCTGTACGACTCAATTTCTCCCACGGGTTTGCCAGGCTTAGGAATCATCACAATCACGGCGCGCTTCCAGCAGGCTGGAAAGTGCCGGATGCGGAGCATGGCGTTGTACACCATAGTTATGTAGTCTATGGTGGAGTCAGGCAGTGCTCTAAGGACTCTGCCGTTTATTAGATCATATCCAGGGGATTTTTTTGCCTTCACTCTTCTGATGTGTTCAAGAACCTCTTCTTTTGTACATCCAGTTATCTGGTCTTCAGCTGGGAGGGGCGAGAGAACGATGTCTTCTGTTGCTTCGATTTCTGAGGCCTCTGCGGTAATCACCGGCGTGAATTGGTCTTGAAGGTGGTTTGCAAAAGCCTCAGCTTGAGCTTCGTCTCCAATGTGCCAGGAACCAGAAATGCTCCGAATGGGATGACGTCGTATTGGCTGCCGTTTGAGCTTTCTTGTAAATTTCCATAATTGAAACTCTGCGTCAGTGGGCGATTCAGCTCGTACCAGCGCATCGCTGATACACCTCTTTTGAAGCAGGGCGAGAGCAGCTTTAAGATGCCTCGTGGCTTCGTTGTACATGGATTTGGCATCAGGCGTGCGTAATCTTAACCAGCGTCTCCTGGCCCATCTTTTGTGTATTAGTAGGTGTTGGGCCTCCAAGGTGAGGGGGATGTTGTACGGAGACTGTTGTCTTGTTTGGCAAGATGGTGGGGCGGCTTGGTGCGCAGCTTTGACTATTTCTTCCTGCAGTTTGTTTGCTGCGTAGTCCACGTCTTCAGGAGTGTTAAGTTCCATTTCTATGTGCAAAGAGTAATGGAGCTCGCGCCTAAAGACTCCTAAATCTGATCCTGCTGGCAGTAGTTGTTTCCTAATGGGCAAGGGCTGTGGCTGCGCGTGGATTGTGACTATTAGTGGCAGGTGGTCAGAGGATAGGTCCAAGGATTCTTCAATGGTCAATTGCCGGTCACAGATGCCTTTGTAGACAGCGAAGTCGATTGCCGAGGGCCTGTGTCCATTAATTGGGTAACGGGTGGGGGCTCCAGTCGCCAATATGCTGAATTGTAAGTTTTGAATCGCCTCAAATATGACTTCTCCGCGACGATTCGCACTATTGCTTCCCCAAAATGGGTGCCATCCATTCCAGTCGCCGCCGATGAGGGTCTTATTCAACCTTTGGCCTAGAACCTGTTCCATGTGATGATCACACAGACCAGTGTTTGGCGGAAGATAAATTGACGCAACTTCGATCGCTCCAATAGACGTAGGCAGGGTGATGGCTGAGACCTGCATTGTTGCGTTGCAAATTGGCAGTAAAGGTGTATGCGGTATTGTTGCTCGTATGAGGATTGAGGATCCACCAAAGCAGTTTGCTCCTTCACCATGAGCCTGATAGTGTTCGTATCCGAAAATTTGTGTAGTGGGGCACTCATGAGTTTCTGTTATTAACATTATATCTATGTTTTCTTGTGAGAGAAACGCAGCCAGTTCCTGAGTCTTGTTTCTCAGGCCATTGGCGTTCCAGATACCCACACGTAAAGCCATTATTTGTAGGCAAGCTTGGTTATGATGGCCATTAAACTGTTTAGCATGGTTGCTTGTTGGGATTGTACTTCTCGCATCGCTTTGAGCTCGGCATTAATTGCGTCAAACTGACGTTGTTGTTGCTGAAGCATTTCAGTGAACAAAGTGTCACTTGTGGTATTCTTATTTGACGGTCCACCTCTAGCGGCCTGTGCGTAAGAAACACCACTAATAGGCGTTGCAAAGCTCGTGGCTTGGGTAATGCTCCGGGGCCTTGTAATTTCGGAAGCAGTACTCGGACCCGTAGACGGTGTTTGTGTGGGACTCCTTTTTTGTGCTGGGGATTGCAATTTGCGCAACCGCTTGTATACTTGGCAGCCCTTATAGTTGGCTGGGTGCTGTAACTCACAGTGCACACAAGTTGGTGCCTGGTCCTTTTCGCGGGTGCAGTCTTTGGATGCGTGTTTCCCGGCGCAACGCACACATCTGGGAGCTTTGTGGCAGTAGCGTTGTGTGTGTCCAAATTCTTGACAGCGATGGCATTGTGTCAGGTCGTTGTATCTTCTTGGCAGTTCCACTGTGCAGCGTTGCCTGCAGACAACTCGAATGTCCAAAATTTCTTTGTTGTTGGGGGCCTGAGCCACGTCAACAAAAAATATATTTAGCGGTGTTTTGTCCATACGGCTCAGTGGGTTGTGCACATTTGTAATTGTGTGGCCTTTGGTTTCCAATTCCTTTTTAATTAGTGTTGTATCAGTGCTGGAGTGAAGCCCTTTGAACACGACTCTATATGGTTTGTCCTCCTTAAGCTGGTAGCAGTGGAACTCCAATTCCAGCTTAGTAAAGTGGTCTATAACTCTGCGATAGTCCTCACTGCATTGGGTTAATACACCTATGTTATTCTTCTTTGGCTTAATTACGTATGATTTAGCATCAATTACTTTATCTATTATCTGTTGAAGTAGGGCCACAGACTTGATGTTTGGACACCATATGGGGGGCGGACGAGGTTTCGGAGTAGTTTGCTGGTCGGTCAATACTGGGGCTTCTGGAGCTACAGGTGATTCGCTGTAGTCTTCATCTTCTTCTACGAGCAGTGAAAATCGATTTTCTGATATTAATGCTGCATTGCTGGTGCTTGGTTCGTCGAAGATGAGCCTTTTCTTGATGGTTTTTGGTGAATTTGGCTGTTTACGTTTCGTGTTTTTGTTGTTAGTGATGCCTTGCACGGAGGCGATATCTATTTTTGAGTTTATTGGCATGATGGAGGCTTGCCTATTTGCCATCACAACGTTAAGCTGGGCTTGCATTTCTGCATTTACCTTTACAGCTGTAGCGAGGTTATTGACATTAGATGTCATCGCGGATTGTGCTTTTGAGTGCAGGCGCACTCGCGCCAAGCGACGAAATTTCGTAAATTGCAATTAAAGCAATTGAGTTACGCGGAAGCAAGCGATAAGAAAACGCTGCGTGTGCGGTTTTTGTTGCTGTTGCGTTGAAGAATGCACCGCAAAGTTCTATTTTTAGAACTCTGCAGCAGTAGAGCTTAAGCGAAGGCTGTTCGAATTCACGTCTTTACAGGTCGAACGACTGATCGCGATTGTGTCTCTCGTTTGTATTCTGTTGTAACGCTACTCATTTGCTTCAGGGACGTCCGTCTATGCGTGGTGGAGCATATGCGCTGGCTAATGATCGACAAATACAAGTGCCTGAACGATATTACGCTGCAGGACCTGCAGGACTTTGCGGGCCTCTTTCCACAACAGCTGTATGTGCAGGGCCTCGTGCAGGGCAACTATACGGAGGAGCAAGCCCATAATGTGATGAACATGTTGTTGGGTCGTCTCGGCTGCAAGTCGATACAGGACCACTATTATGTGGAGGATCGCACGGTGCAATTGCCACAGGGCGCACACTACATACGCTGCCATACGCTGAACGAACAGGACACGAATACTGTGATCACGAACTACTATCAGATCGGGCCAAATAATGTGCGCTTGGAGTGCATTTTGGATCTGTTGATGATGTTCGTTGAGGAGCCGCTGTTCGATCAGTTGCGCACCAAGGAGCAGCTGGGCTATCATGTCGGCGCAACGGTTCGGATGAATTACGGCATTGCCGGCTACTCGATCATGGTCAACTCCCAGGAGACAAACACAACGGCCAGCCATGTGGAGAAGCGTATCGAGGTGTTCCGCAACAATATGCTCCAAATTCTCGAAGATATGTCCCAGGAGGACTACGATCATACGCGCGACTCGCTCATCAAGCTGAAGCAGGTCGCCGATATGGCGCTGGCCACGGAGGTGTCGCGCAACTGGAACGAGATTGTCAACGAGGAGTATATGTTCGATCGTCGTCGGCAACAGATCGATGTGTTGCGCAGCCTGACGAAACGTGAAATAGTCGCCTTCCTGCTGGACAATGAGATCACCAACATGCGCAAGGTGTCCATACAGGTCATTGGCCATCAGCCGGAGAAGACGTCCAAATTGAAGTCAAAGGCGTTGGCCGAAACGGAAGGGGATGCCCAAAGTTCGCTGACCGAGACGACGCCCAGCAGCGAGAATGAAGACGACGATGAGGACGACGATATGGAAAGCAGCGAGGAAGATGAGGATGAACTCTTCGAGGCGCTGGCCAACAAACTGAATGTCGTATTCCTGCCAGAGGAGGGTGACGCCACAACCATTGTCGACATTGCCGATTTCAAGTCCAGTCTGGATCTATATCCCATGACTCTCTTCAACAATGTGAGCGCCGATGTCGAGGATGCCAGCAGCAAGCCAACGCTTATCGAGGATGCGCTAATGAATACGTGAACGCCCACACCTGACAGCAACCAAAAGACCCATCAACGGCAAATACATATTGTCCATAAATATGCATACGCACACATATACATATGAGTATATGCATGTGTGTGTGTGTGTGTGTGCGAGTGTGTTTAGCATATATAGTTTATAAGGATTCATCTGTAACAAAATTACTGCAAAGCGAATGCACTCGTCGTTTTACTAGCAAAATGTAAAGTAAAGTAACACACCTGTGTACACCTACCCATACCATACCGTACCCATACCGTACCATACACACACACTTACATTGACGTTTTACAAGAGAAATATGTAGATCGAAGCATTTGTCCTTTCGCGATGATCGCGTGATTTGTAACTGACGACATTTGAAAGCAAACTAAACTAAATTTACCTTAAACAGCTATTAAACTAAATAAAACAAATAAATTATGCAATATGCACCCACTTCTCTGTATCCCAGCCAATGCATACACACATTCACATATATATTAAGATATATTTAATAGAATATATAGAACTTTATACGTTTTACACATATATATGATTTGTGGCGAGTGGGGCACATACACTCGTTGGTCGTCTCGTCTCTTAGAGTCTCTCAATATATTTACGATCGGCAAATACTATATCTGGTTTATGAGTAACGCTATTAAAGTTGCAATTTTGAATACATATATAGTGGCCGAGACTAAAGCATTAGTAGACATAACTAGCACCATTAAGGATCCTTTACAGATCTCTATTTTGTATATATATAAAGGCTTTGTGTCTTACGAGATCATATCGACTCAGCAGTTCGTTCTGATCAAGAAAATATATACTTTGTGGGCGCTGCCACGCCTCGTTCTGCCTGTTACATGCATTTTGAGAAAACCTTTTTGCTCTGAATTATCATTCTTAATGTGTTCAGGGTACAAAGAACTGATGAGGCTTGTTCTGGATAAAAACAGCTGGATAAATCAATTGTTTGAGCGACCTATATATATGTAATATAGTATTATAAGATACTCTATATATATATAGTTTTATAGTATACAATATTACTGAATAATTGTTAGGCATTAAGTAGAACGACAGCTGTTCGCCCCACTCAATGATCCTGAGTTGTGATGAGGTCAAGCGAGCTTAATCGATTCATAAGACTTGCTCACAAAACCAACAACTGTCGAATGGGAACTAACTGAAGAGCAGGTTTAACAGGAATTAAACTAAATCTGCACAAAATATTTCTTTCGTTTTTTGGGATTTGTCATATAGTCAAAGCTCTATAGGCTTGATATATTCATATACCTCTAAGCTCTAACAGCCCAAATATTTCAGCTAAATTGTATTAGCTTTAACTATTTGGCATGCTACCAGCAGGTGTGGAACTATCATTTTTATGCTTTTAGTTGCCAAAAACAGATCGGATGACGATATATATGAGTATATATAGTATACATATGTACATTTAGCCCTGTCCTTATGACAGACAAAACCAATATACTCGCTTTTCATTGAGTGAACGAGCATAAAAGTGTGCACTGACAAAGGTTTAATAATTATATAGGGATATATATATAGGTATGGTATATGTAAATGATATAGGTATAGGTATAAGGTTCAATTTGCTTAATAATCTCATCCCGCGATCTCTCTCTCTCTTTCTCTGTCTATGTCTCTCATTTGCTGGTATGGGATCAATCATTTATTTGTTCTTTATTTATACACGTAACTTTCTGTGTGTGTGTGTGTGTATTTACATCGATGTATTCGTATGTGAGTGTACATATATATGTATAAGCTTTACAAATATTTGTATTTTCTCTATATAAAGTATATATTATCAAAAATTTGTTTCATTTTTGATTCGTTCAATTTTTGTGCTTGATTAATTTATGATTTGAACAGAGATGCAATCGCCATATTCTAGATATATATTTAGTATTTGTATATACATATATATATATATATATATGGTTTATATAAAAAATCTCGATTGTTTCGTTAGTATGTATGTATGCGTTATATATACATTTACATTGAGCTTTAGTTGGCTCCCTTTTTTTTGTTTTTTACATTTTTGTATACTTAAGCATAAGTAACAATATATAGTCCATAGTTGTTTTTGTTGCTTACGATCGTCGGGTCTGGGTTTAGTATTTGTTCACAACTGAACTTAAGGATAAAGCGAGAATAGTATACATACAGTATTAGAGTACAAAAAGTATAGAATTATCAACAATAGAATAACAAAAAAAAAAATAATTAAAAATAATGTGTATATATAGGTATATATATATATAGTAAAACATATGAACTAAATTAGTTTTTTTTTTGTTTTCTTTAGATATTTTCTTTTGCTTATATACAGATTTCTAGTTGTGTGCAACGGTAAATTTAGGGTATTTTACAGTTTTTGCAGCTCTGTGGTGTCGACTAGGTAGCGCGACTGCAGTATCCTCGGCGTACGCTCGTTGGCATCCTGGAGCAGTCCCTCCTCGTGCTTGGTATTGCCATTGCCATTGGCGCCAAAGATGCGCGAGATAAGCGAGGTATTGGAACGCTTGAAAGCGGCCATTCGTTTGCCGTTCATGATCTCGGGCAGATCGTCAAGGCCGCGATGCAGCGACAACTTGTCAAGTTCCGAATCGGAGCCATAACGTTTGGCACGCTCTGCGGCCAGTTGAGCTTCGTATTCGGAGGTGCGCAACGTCTTGGCCGTTGGCTTGCGATACATTTTGAGGAGCAGCGACGAGCAGACAACGCTCACCGAACTGGCGGCCATGGCCACCGAGGCCATCCAGGGCTGGAGCGTAAAGCCAAAGGGCGCAAACAACCCGCTAGCCAGGGGTATGCCCAGCAGATTGTACATGCTGGCAAATAGGAAATTGTAGCGTATGCGACGCACTGTGCACCGGGACAGGTCTAAGCAGGCAACCACATCCAAGAGATCGTTACGCATCAGCACAATGTCCGCTGCCTCGGCAGCCACATCTGTGCCCGCTGCTATGGTGATGCCCACGTCGGCTTGTGCCAAAGCGGGGCTATCGTTGACACCATCGCCCACCATGGCAACGCGTATGCCACGCTGTTGGATCCGTTGGATTTTCGCTACTTTATGCGAGGGCAGCACTTCCGCATAGACTGTGCGTATGCCCACCTGTAGACGGGAGAATTCAGATTAATATCAGTTCATTGGGGACGAGCGAGCGAGCGACGAGATGCCCTACACATTGCCCAGACCAACGCGTTCACACAGACGGACAAACGGACAGGCAGATGGAATTGACTGGATAGACTGATGGGACACCTCCTTCTGCCGTCACACACTCTTGAACAGTAACTATATCCCGACATACCTCACGAGCAATGCTTGCTGCTGTATTCTTGTTGTCGCCCGTCAGCAGAACCACATCGATGCCCATGCGCTTCAGTGTATAGACCGCCAGGTGAGCCTCCGGCTTGACCATGTCGGCGACAGCAAACATGCAAACCAGCTGGCCATTGAGGGCGCATAGGACGGCCGTGTGCCCTTTGTGCTCCTCGTGCGTCATGCAATCGCTAATCTCCAGTGGCACCTCGATGCAATTACGTTGCATCCATTCGCGATTGCCGATGAGCACATGAATCTCGGGTCCATCGATCAGTGGCTGTTGGTGCTGTTCGAACTGTGGATGCTGCTGGCGCTGTTCCAGATCGAGGGCCCCATCCAAGGCGAGCAGCTGCTGTTCGATGATTTTCTCCTGCAGCTGCAAATAATCGATGCTGGCGCCGTTGTCTACGGCGATTGCAGTGTGTGGATGAGTGCGCCACAGATTCTCATAGTTGATAATTCGCTCCGCATTGCAAGCCTGCCGCAATGCCTGCTCATAGTTGGAGACGGTGGCCTGAATGCCACAGCCGGGCACCGCCTGAAAATTTGAGCTCTTGCCAAAACTATTCTGCACATTTAGCATGTCCTTGGCAAAGTGTACAATGGCTGAGGCAATGGGATGTTCACTGTTCTGCTCCGCAGCGCCAATGATGGTCAAGGCGCGGGCCAGGCTGCACACCTGCGGCGGCACAAACAACGTTACCCGGCTGGTCATCGGAGTGCCATGCGTAATGGTGCCCGTCTTATCAAAGACAACTGTCTTGACCTGCAGAATGAATAAATGTAGAATACTTAACACTTAATAACTATATCACACAAAGTTTGAATTTATGTATAAATATAATTGAAAATTAGAAGAAAGTCCATCTTTCAATTTTCGCTTTTCACAATCTCAACATGGCGGCTACATTTACGCATATACATAACATAACTGTCAATGCGTGCGGCATAAGTCATGTTGGTATTTTCAAAGCAAGTCGACGCTTTAAGCCCCTACGCATAAGGATATGCATGCAAATATGCAAACTTTTTATACGAGCATGGCTAATGCTTTGACTATTTCGCAATGCTGCTCCCTAAGAAGGGGCACACACTAATACATACATAAATTTGAGAGAGCACAGTGAGAGCAAGCACACAAAAATGACATCAAAACGGGATGCCCATTTCAACAGCACATAAATTCCAATGCATAAGGCAAGCAAGTCGACGTTTTGATGTCCTAGGCAAAAGAAATCATGCAAATATGCAACATTTTTCTATAAGCATGACCAATGCCTAGCATTTTGTATTGCTGCTCCTTAAAAAGAGACTGGAATGCTCGGGCACACACAAATTTGAGAGAGAGCAGTAAGAGTAGATACAATAACAAAAATGGTACTAAACGGTAAGGCCGTCTTGCTCGATCGCACTGACTGCGTGCTCGCAGCTCGTTGAGAGCGCAAAAGAGTGAGTGAGGAAAACCGAAATAACGGTGATTATTGCTTGAGTTGGCTCTCTGGCTCTCCCTTAAGCGCTTATTTTGACTTACGTCGCTGCAATACGTAACAATCTGTCTGTTAGGGTTAGGGTTAGGTTAGGTGCTCTCTCTCTCTTTTTCACTTTGTCTTTTGCACTCACCTTGTGGGCATTTTCCAGTGCTGTGGCACCTTTAACCAGCACACCGTTCGTTGCGCCCGTGCCAGTGGCCACCATAACCGCTGTGGGCGTGGCCAGGCCTAAGGCACATGGGCAGGCAATGGCCAACACGCTGAGAGCACACTTGAATGCGTAGCTAATGACAATCGTATTGCGATCCATGTGCATCTTATGCTCCATGGCTACTGGCACCAGATCGGGATTGACAAAGCCGGCTATAATCCATCCGATGAGCGTTATGGTCGATATGGCCACCACAAAGGGCACAAAGTAACCGGCAATGCGATCCGCTAACTGTTGTATGGGAGCCTTCGATGTTTGTGCCTCCTCGACGAGTCGCACAATCTGCGCCAGCGTCGTATTCTCGCCAGTGTGCGTGGCCTCAACGAGAAGCACGCCGTTCCGATTGATGGAGCCGCCAATGACAACGGCGCCCTTGCGCTTAGCCACCGGCATCGACTCGCCCGTGATGAGGGATTCATCGCAGCTCGAATGGCCAAAGAGCACTTTGCCATCGACGGGTACCTTGGCACCGGGTATCACCTTCAGCACATCTCCGCGCTGAACATAGTCTACGGATATTGTCTTCTCACTGATTATATCAAAGTCGGCCGAGATCTCCACGAGCAGCGCATCTGCTGCTTTTAGTGAGAGCAGCTTGGACAGTGCCTCCGATGTCTTGCCCTTGGCTATGTGCTCCAGCCAGCGACCAAGCGAAATGAAGATCAGCAGCATCGGCGGCGTATCGAAGAAGGTAAGAGGCGAGCTATTCTGCTCCATCAGCACTGCTGCTATCACCACAGCCACGGAGTAGACATACGAGATCGTCGTCACCATTGAGATGAGCACATCCATGTTGGTGGTGCCATGTTTGATGGCGCGGTACGATTGCACATAGAAGTGATAGCCGCCAAAGAACTGTACGGGCGTCGACAACAAGAACATGACCAGATTTTCCATGGATAGCCCAGGCACGAGGCAGCACATGTTCGCATGACCCTTGTCGCTCATTTCCAGCATGAAGTAGATCATGGCCACCATGCACGGCCCGCCAAAGATAAGTGAGATGAGGAACGCGTTCCGCCATTTTCTTATCTCCTCCTTGTGTTCCAGATAATTGTGCGCCATCTTGTCTCGTCCGCTGAGGAGCTTGGCCTGAAAGCCAAGCGCCTCGATCGCTTCGCATATGCTTCGCGGACCCGTATCGTCCGTTGTATATCGGAATTTGCCTGAAACACATGTAGATGTGATAACTTATTAGACTACAGTGGTGTCCAGGAAAGTTGTGATACATCATGGGATGCAATGACAACACACAACAGTGGCGTCTCGATAAGTGAGCCTCACTGAATTTGTGTTTAATCTCCTTATAATTTTACAGTGTTATGAACAAATGAACATTTAAATGAACTAGTAAACTTGTTCAGTGATCTATTCAGTTACAATTTCACCGATCACTGCAATACTCAATGAACGATACAGTTCAATTGAACAAATATTTATGCTCAATTCTCGGACGACTCATTATGATTCGTTCTACTGTATGTGTCATTAATTAAGTACTTAATTAAATTAACTATTGATCAAACTGAACAATTGCATTGATTCAACCCAATGAACTAGAATTCAGCACTAGAGGGAAAGCTGCAACCAGACACGTTTCCACCTAGTCAACAACTTCTACATTGAGCTGCAAGTGAAAGCTCATGGATACGTGCAAAAACTAGTTCCAATTGACTGCCTGAAGTCACGTAAAAATCAAGTCTAAAATATTTCCTTTTATATATTTAATATATTAAATCGAGTTATATATATATATATACTATATTCATCTAAAGGCACTGATACTGTAAATTAGGCAACATATTGCCCTAGGTGTGCTTCAGTAAATATTTATGCAGACGTATCAGATTAGATTAGAATGTTAGAATACAAAAAACTAATAAAACTAGCTCAATAAAAAACAACTGTTTCCAACTGTAACTACAGCGTGGATTATGAAATTATAACTAACAAGCTTATATAACATCGAGTGTTAGCACTTTTTTGACCAGGTCTGCAAAAAGTGATGTTTAAAAGTATTTAACTGTTTTTTAGCAAATAGTTTTCTTTTATTTTTTTACTATTATAATTTTGTATTGCTTTTAACTAAAACATTGATGTTTATTTAGAATTAAATAGGTATCAACACTTTTTTGGCCTTGCCTGTGAGTGAAGTCGCTAAAGTGCGCTCCAATTGGAATTGAAATTTGAATTGGAGTGCAAAAAGTATTTAGCTTGATTTTTTTTCTTTCTAACACTAAGATTTTGTTATTATTATTAACCGGTTCCAGTGCCCGGATTTGATTGCCAACTGAAGCTTAGACAACCAGCTTCGATCAAACGCGCCTCACCCCTCGCTTGCGATATCTCTCTCTCTCTCAGTCTCTCTCTGTTTCTCTGTGCTACATATGCATATGTGTGTGTACATATCATTAATCACTTGAACAGTGACTAAAATTTCAATGCATTCACTTTTGCGTGCGTGTGTGTGTGTCTGTATAGGCCAGCATGGGCTGTTGAACTTGGCGACGGGCTATTCCAGACGCAGACAAAGCTGACAAAGCTCCAAAAGTTCTGTTAGTTTATTTAAAATATTTATTTAGTTTATTTAGTATTTTTTGTGTTGTTTTTTTTATTGGGATTGTCGCAATTTAGGGCAATTGTTGGTGTAAGTTAATGTGAGATAAAGTGTAGATAAGATACGAGAGAATTTTCTAATTGTAGCTGTAGTAGTGGGCTTTAATTGTGTTGAAGGGGGGCATGTTTAACATGTTGAAAATTGGAAGTTTTAAGCGCATGACTTGAGACATTTCTAATATTTAGTTAAAGATATGCAATTGAATAGATAATTAGTCGGCTTGCTTAGCACACTTAAGCAGTACAGTTAAGAAAAACGAAAAAACCAGTACTTTTATTTGCATTTGTAAAGTTTTAAAAGAAAATTCCCCTATACAGACTCTCTGAATCATGGCAGATAAGTAAGTATTTCACCAGCCATGCGGGGAGAGTCATGTAATTAGAAAGAACATGGGAGAGAGAGAGAGAGAGAGAGGATGGAAGTGTTAGTATTGCAGGGGCTTTACAGCATGTATGTGTGCATACGTGCTCATGTCCACAGAGCGTATGTATGCATGTATGCACGTATGCATAAATGTATACATGTGCAAATGCATATGTATACAAATCACAGTATGCATTGTCAAATCGTGTGCAAAACTGACTATGCACGCTTTGCTGCATATTCTGTGATCATATTTTCAAGCTTTTAAACTCGATATGAGTTTGTGACTATCAATAACAATGAAATTTTCAGCATAAATGTAGACTTGCCTTAAGCTAACTGAACATTAATTTAATTGATTACATTAGCACTTGATATAGCAGGGTATTAGATAAGTCGCCCACGTGCTTGGCCACGTAATTAGCAAAAGCGTGTGCAAAAAATACTATATATAGGAGTTGAGTGAAGGCATCATTTTTTTTTTTTTTTTTTTTTTTTTTTTTTTTTTTCGTTTTTATTTCTTTATTTTGTTGCAGCTTATTGTCTTAGACTCTATAGCGCATTTAGCTCTAAACCTTAACTAATGGGAGGGCAGATATGCCAATTATTCTGCACTTGTAGCTACTATCTTAATTAGTTCTAATATTGTCTAGAGGATGCAATCTCTTCAGTCTTCGCCTATTGTTGTTTATAGCCAGGTTGCTTGCGAGATGGTTAGGATGCGCTGCAAGTCTGTCCGCGTATCTTGAACTGTGTCGCCCAATGAGTTCAGCAACTGTGGGAATTGCTAAATCCCTATGTAAGACTGAGTTTCTTACAAACCAGCTGGCTCCAGTCCATCTGCGTAGTGCTTTATTCTGCAGGGTCTGAATTTTGTTCCTTGTAGTCTTCGCCGAGGAGCCCCATAGAGAGATACCATATACGAAGGTTGGGACAACTATTGCCTTGTAGATGGCGGCCTTGCTGCTGTAAGACAACTTGCTTGAAGCTCTCAGCATCCAGTCGAGGGTTTTTAGCTTGCTTTTGCATTTTGAGGTTACTTGACTTATGTGCGCTTTAAAAGTCAGCCTTCTGTCAAGAGTGATACCAAGGTACTTTACTTTTGAGGCTTTGGGAATAGTGGGCCCCAATGCAACGCTTGGGCAATCTCCTCTTCTAGTGGCGAAGGTAGTATGTACAGACTTTTGTGCATTAATGGTGATACACCACCGTTTTGCCCAGCGTCCGAAAGAGTCCAGATATTTTTGTAGTGAGTCTGAAGCTTCTTGCGCAGATACGTGACGTGATAAGATGGCGGTGTCATCTGCATAGGTCGCTATGAGTACTGCATCTGTACTTCCTATATTTGGCTCGGGAGTTGGCATATCTCCTGTGAATAAAGTATAAAGTGTTGGGCCTAGAACACTACCCTGTGGTACTCCAGCCATAATTGGTCTAGTCAAGGATACTGTTTGCCCCCTTGACACTTGGAAGGTTCTTCCAATAAGGTATGAGGATAGCAACGCGAAAAATGGGGCTGGAAGGGTGGTCCTCACTTTCTGCAGCAGTCCCAGGTGCCAAACTCGATCAAACGCCTGTTTGATGTCTAAAAAGACGGCAGAGCAGTACATCTTTTCTTCAAAGGCTCCAAGGATATGGTGCACAACTCTGTGAACCTGTTCCGGTGTTCCATGCTGTCTCCTGAAGCCAAACTGATGGTTTGGAATGGCCTCCTGGCGTCCCAGATGTGTCAGTACTCGTTCCAGAAATATTCTTTCGAATATTTTGGAGAGTACTGGCAACAGGCTAATTGGTCTGTACGACTCAATTTCTCCCACGGGTTTGCCAGGCTTAGGAATCATCACAATCACGGCGCGCTTCCAGCAGGCTGGAAAGTGCCGGATGCGGAGCATGGCGTTGTACACCATAGTTATGTAGTCTATGGTGGAGTCAGGCAGTGCTCTAAGGACTCTGCCGTTTATTAGATCATATCCAGGGGATTTTTTTGCCTTCACTCTTCTGATGTGTTCAAGAACCTCTTCTTTTGTACATCCAGTTATCTGGTCTTCAGCTGGGAGGGGCGAGAGAACGATGTCTTCTGTTGCTTCGATTTCTGAGGCCTCTGCGGTAATCACCGGCGTGAATTGGTCTTGAAGGTGGTTTGCAAAAGCCTCAGCTTGAGCTTCGTCTCCAATGTGCCAGGAACCAGAAATGCTCCGAATGGGATGACGTCGTATTGGCTGCCGTTTGAGCTTTCTTGTAAATTTCCATAATTGAAACTCTGCGTCAGTGGGCGATTCAGCTCGTACCAGCGCATCGCTGATACACCTCTTTTGAAGCAGGGCGAGAGCAGCTTTAAGATGCCTCGTGGCTTCGTTGTACATGGATTTGGCATCAGGCGTGCGTAATCTTAACCAGCGTCTCCTGGCCCATCTTTTGTGTATTAGTAGGTGTTGGGCCTCCAAGGTGAGGGGGATGTTGTACGGAGACTGTTGTCTTGTTTGGCAAGATGGTGGGGCGGCTTGGTGCGCAGCTTTGACTATTTCTTCCTGCAGTTTGTTTGCTGCGTAGTCCACGTCTTCAGGAGTGTTAAGTTCCATTTCTATGTGCAAAGAGTAATGGAGCTCGCGCCTAAAGACTCCTAAATCTGATCCTGCTGGCAGTAGTTGTTTCCTAATGGGCAAGGGCTGTGGCTGCGCGTGGATTGTGACTATTAGTGGCAGGTGGTCAGAGGATAGGTCCAAGGATTCTTCAATGGTCAATTGCCGGTCACAGATGCCTTTGTAGACAGCGAAGTCGATTGCCGAGGGCCTGTGTCCATTAATTGGGTAACGGGTGGGGGCTCCAGTCGCCAATATGCTGAATTGTAAGTTTTGAATCGCCTCAAATATGACTTCTCCGCGACGATTCGCACTATTGCTTCCCCAAAATGGGTGCCATCCATTCCAGTCGCCGCCGATGAGGGTCTTATTCAACCTTTGGCCTAGAACCTGTTCCATGTGATGATCACACAGACCAGTGTTTGGCGGAAGATAAATTGACGCAACTTCGATCGCTCCAATAGACGTAGGCAGGGTGATGGCTGAGACCTGCATTGTTGCGTTGCAAATTGGCAGTAAAGGTGTATGCGGTATTGTTGCTCGTATGAGGATTGAGGATCCACCAAAGCAGTTTGCTCCTTCACCATGAGCCTGATAGTGTTCGTAT